TTTATATTATCTTTTATTTATATTATATTTTTTTATTTTTTTTTTAAATACTATTGATATTTTAATATTATTTTGTAATATTAAATTCAATTATTTGATGTAAAAAAAAAATTAAAAGAAAATGAACATTCCATAGTATTAATAATAAAATTGAGTTAAATAATATTTATCATGTTTTGTGGTAATTAATATTATTGCAGTAATTTAAATAGTTAATGTCTCTATAAAATAAAAAAATAAAGAGAATTTAATGACGCCAAATTTCACATTTTTTATTTAAAACAAGGCTTGCACTACCGCATGTAAATTTTCACCTAACAACGTCGTTACCTAAAAAAAATTTATAAAAAAAAATTTGGAGTCATGAATCTAAGAAGCATCTATTTTTTTGACTCTGGAGTCCAGAGTTATAGATTTCGTAAAAATTGATAAAACTTTGCATCCCTGATCATGTGACACAACAGCAGAGAATGACAGATAATCAAATGATATAAAATTACAAACACAATATTAAGTAGAGATCATGACAAACTACAGTCTAAAAAACCTGAAACTGAATATGAAATTAGTTTAAAATCCAGGTTAGATAACATTTAAACTGTGGCTTCATTACACCACAACAACTCTAATTTTTATTAAATTTTTAATAGAAATTAGAGTTGTAAAAATTAAATTTTTTGCAACTTTGTTTGAAAGCTGTTAGCCTGAAAATTAAAATTAACTAAAAAGATTTAAGTCTGATTTTATATTATATATTATAAATAATAATATAAAATTATAGCATATAATAATTATATATTAACATTGAAGACTGTATTTGTAAAATATATTTAAAATTATTAGTGTTTGTAAACATATATATATATATATATATATATATATATATATATATATATATATATATATATATATATATATATATATATATATATATATATATATATATATATATATACAAAATATATATAATATATATATATATAATATATATATATAATATATATATAATATATATATATAATATATATATAATATATATATATAATATATATATAATATATATATATAATATATATATATATATATATATATATATATATATATATATATATATATATATATATATATATATATATATATATATATATATATATATATATATACATATACTAAATTGCATAATATTTGTAAAACTAACAAAATAGTTTTAGGTTTTGTATTTAAATTAAGAACATAAGCATTTAATAAACAAATTCGTTAAGCATTTAATAAAATATTCAAAAAAATAACATAAGCATTTAATAAACTTATTTACTAATTATTTAATTTTAAAATTTTGATTTAAATATTAACAAACCTGTTCATTTAACTTTTACTAAAGGTTAATAATTTTTAAAGTGATTTCAAGGCGCCTTTTAAATTAAAGAAGAGATAATTATGGTAAACAAGATTTTGAAAATGTTTTTTTGAATTAAAAGCATATTATATTTTTAAAAACGTATATTTAAAAAAATATATTTTTTATATAAATAAGTATAATTTAAAAAAATTACGTTTATTAAATAAATTACATTTACTGTGGATTATTTTAAACAGATTTTAATAAAACTTTTATTAAGTTATTTAAATTTTTATTTTTACTATTTTAAAGAATATGGAAAAAAAAAACTTTCAGAAAAAGTTTACGCTTCGTTTTTACGTTTTCAAGATCAAGCATTCAATCATTCAAAAATTAAACTCACGCGATAGTTACGTCACTAAGTAACCAAAGGCAAATTATATTACATAGTTATATAAAAATGTTTTTACATTTTTATTTTGTTGTCTTAAAGAAAAAATGATTTAGCTAAATTAAACTGAAAATTATTTATATAATACTGCATTACAAACTGGAACTTTTTTTCTATTTTTTACAAAAAAGCAAAAGAAAAATTATAAAATTAAAATAATTTTTGGGCGCTTTTTCTTGGGCGCCCATACCGGTACATACATATACATATATATATATATATATATATATATATATATATATATATATATATATATATATATATATATATATATATATATATATATATATATATATATATATATATATATATATATATATAATATATATATATATACATATATATATATACATATATATATATATATATATATATATATATATATATATATATATATATATATATATATATATATAATATATATATATAATATATATATATATAATATATATAAATATAATATATGTTTATATATTATATATATATATAAAAAATCTCACAGGGTGGCTACACTTCTTCTGAGTTAAAAAAATTATAAGAATTTAGGAGATTTTAGGAGATTTTTTTAAATTTTTTTGGGAGATTTTACTGGGAAATTCGGAAATGTTGGAAAAGCGAATAAAAAAATTAGGATTGTTTAGAACGATATTTAAATCTTTTTTTACAAAATTTTCAAATTATTCAAAAAGTTAATAAAAAATTTTAAAGTTAAGAAAATTTTAAATTAGAAGATTTGAGGAATATTTTTGAAATTCAAGTATATTTTAGGAGAACTTATTTTATTAAAAATTAGGATATTTTAGGATATATTAGGAGGCATAGCCACCCTGAGGCATGGTCACCCTCACCTCACCCTGCCTCATTAAATAAATAATAATCTAAGGAAGACATAAACTTTAAAATAAAAAAAATATTTAGAAAATCTAACTTTTTGGAACTTGGCAAAAAGAAGCTTGTTTTAGATAACACTGCAAATCCTGCCATTTTCCTCCATTCTGCATTCCTGCACATAGATGCTTCACTCCTCTATATGGTACATTAGTATACCAATTTATAAAAGAAAGAGGAGAGCCATCAAGCCAAATATATCCTAAATTAAAAAATAAAACATCAAATTATTTAAATAAAAAATTATGTAACTATAGTTCAAATGATGTAATTAAAACTTAATTGCATCATCAAGTTGTTTAGTTAGAGTAAACTGTGTTACTAAAATATCAAACTCTGTAAGTACATCATTGAAATATATGGTTTGAGCATTTTTAATTAAAAAAATCTGAAAATTAATTTTAAAGTTGATTTTTACTGAACAGTATACAAATTAAAATTTTCAGTTTGTAAATAAAAACAATAATATGAATAAATAAAAAATAATATACATTCTGTTACCAATAAAGCATAAACTATTTACATTTTTGTTATAACTATATTTTAAACAGTTATCTTTTGCACTTAATGGGCAGTTACAACTAAGAAACAAATGTTTATATAAAATAAATCTAAGCTTTAATTCTTACCATTAATGATCCCTTCATTAGTTAAACCAAACCATGTAAAATCAATATTGTTATAAACTGATGCATTAAAAAGCAAATTGTTCACTTCAAAAGAAGGTACAGAGGCCAAGTGACCATTTTCTCCCATTTTTGAGCAAGCTTCCTCAGCATCATAAAATGATAGCCTGAAATGTTTCACATATTATAATTTAAAAAATTTTTCAAAGCCAAAAACAAGTTTAAAAAAAATTAAAAAAAATTTTAATTAAATAATTTTTTATACATACATATTCGTATTAAGAAAGTAACAGTAATCTCCATATTCAATCGAGCCATTATCACACTTTTGTCCACTTTCTAAAATGACAAAGTTAAGCTAAAAAATTCAAATAAATAAAGCTGCATACAAGACACAATTGAACAAATCAATAATAAAACGATTTAATTAAAAATAAAAATAAAGTCTTATAAAAAAACAATAAAGGAAAAAAAGTTTAAACTCAAAAAACAAAAACTTACTAGCAGTAACTGGTGGAGGTGCTTCAGTTGTACCCGCTAAAAAAGAAATTTTAATTTTTTTATTGAAAGTAATAACAAAAACAATAAACAATAATAGAATATTTAAAACTTAAACTTTCAGTTCTTAACCTTTTAAAGTTCTACACACAAATGGAAGTTTTTCTTCAGGTTTGGCTGCTTGCCAAAACAAAAAGTCATCTGCACCATTATAAAGACTAAACTTAATATACTCTCCTTGGCTCGGGTCTGGTTGCTTGTTATACCAGTTGGTATAATTGACTGTATTATTATTCATCCAGGAATATACCTGTTCTGCACGGTCATATCTCATACCAAGCCAAACATCACTATTCTTATAGAGTGCACCCAACATAGTAGTTAAGAACAATTCTTCCTCCCTGTTTTGTAAAGATTTATTTTAAATTTAACTGTTAAAAAATGTAAGTATTTTAAAATTGTTTTGTTACTTAAGTTCAACTTTAATTTTTAAATATTCTATTTAATATTTGACATTTGTTAAAAGATTAAAAACCTTGAGTGAATTGATACCAGATTCCCAGTAGAACTGTCATTTTTACATTGTGTTAATGCTTCAGTCAAATTAGCTTGGTAAGTGTAAAGTCTATAGCAGACTCTATTGTCATTATACACAGTATAACCACTTGGACAACCCATTGGATTAACAGAACCTATGTCTAAAAATATGCAAAGCTTCAGAATATAACTACATTTTATGTCTGTTATTTATTATACTTTATTACTTTATCAAGCATTTTACTCAAAAACAGGAAACTTATTATATCTTATAAAAACTTATTATATCTGATTGAATTATAACTGATTACATCAAAAAATATGAAATAAAAAAAGGATAAGTGAACTTGTATATCCAATGAAAGTTAGCTTCTAGCCAGTCTATGTAGGAGGAAGGGGGTTGGTGCAGTGCGGTGCCCCCTGCAATAGCCGCAACAGGGGTGAGTTTTTTTTATACCCTAGTTTTTAATAAGTTGAATGATTTATAAGGGGTAATTCATTAAAAGTATGATGACTAGGAGGACAGTTCAATAATCATTCTAAAGTATTTGTTTTTTTGAGGTTTAAATTGTTTCAAGAAATAATTTATTCTTCTGAATAAATTATTTCTTGAAACAATAGAATATAAAGAATAGAAAAATCATTAGTAATTGAAATTATAAATATGTCATTGAATTCAAAAGACTCAGTGAAAACTCATAAATATATCATTCTAATCAATAACCCAATGCCTCCTAATTTATTTATAATCATTGCTTTTATTGCTGATTTATTAGTTTGTATTCTGATATACCAAAAAATGAATTAATAAAAATCAACATAATCCTACCCCCTCTCAGCCTATAAAAAGTTGAACTGAATTTGAAGTTAAATAAAATAAATAAATTTGTAAATAAGTAAATAAAAAGATATAATAAACAAGATTCAATGCCTATTATATTATTTAAGCCTAATTTAAATAGAAGAGATAAAATTAATATAGAACTACTAAAAGTATGAAAAGAATTATTAAGTATAAAATTGAGCAAATTTAAATCTAATAAAATTAAGGTTTGAATAAATAAGCAAGACCCAAAAGAAAAAACCCAGATAAAATACTGATTAAGATATTTTAAACTTGCTTCTAAACTTTTATATTATTTCTGTTAGAACCAATAAGAATTCCTAATGAAAAAGTTTGAATTTCTACAGATAAATATAGATAATTTCAAAATGACAAATATAGATAATTTCTACAGATAAATATATTAGATGATATTATTGTTATTACTGATAATAAAATAAAACTATATAAAATTAAATTTTCTATTATTAAGTGTAAATTATTTAAAATAATAATAAATATCATTATACTAATTCATTAAAAAGAATTTGCTTTAACAAATTGTGTGATTATAATAAATAAAATTATCGACAGTATTAAATAAAAAAAACTATATTTATTTAAATATAAGTTTAATATAATAAAAACTATAAATGCAAATATTAATAAATTTTTATAATAAAAAATCATTATAATCAAACTATAAAGAATCGCAAAATGTCAATATCATGATGCAGCTTCAAAAGTAAAATGATGAGAATTAGTAAACTGAGAATAATAAATTTTAGGTAAAGATAATGATAAAAATATTGTACCAATAATAACATGAACTCCATGAAATCCTGTAGCTTCAAAAAAAATGGAACAGTAAACTGAGTCAGATATACAAAAATTAGATTCTAAATATTCTAAAGCTTATAAAAATGAAAATACTAAACCTGAAGTAGTTATTAAGCTAATTAAGCTTTGATTTTTTTTTTTTTTTAATTAAACTATGATGTCATCATGTAAATCCTGATGATAAAAGAATAATAGTATTTAATAATGAAATAGAAAATGGATTTAAAGTTATTATTCCTAAAGGTGGTTAATTTATTCCTATTTCTAGAGACAGACTGGAATGAAAAATGCTCAGAAAAAAGAAAAGAAAAATAATATTTCTGAAACTATAAAAAACATAAAACCTAATTTTAAACATGTTAAAACTAATTTAGTATGGCACACCCATTACAATAAACCCATTGATATAAAAAATTTAGTATGGGCTCCCTCTAGACTAGATTCTGTAAATATATCTGTAAACCACAAGACTATAAACAAAATTATTATAATAAAAATTGATAATAGAGGATAATAAAGCCCCTTACAAAAATAAGCAACAGTGTTCAAAGTTAAATACACCCATTGATATACAAAATGGTCAAGGATTAAGATTTAGCAAATGAAAAGTTAATTTTCAATTAATGTTTCATTTTTTGAAACTAATTAATAATTAATTTCAAAAAATGAAAAATTAATATAAGATTAAACTATCTTTTAAATAAATTAAACATAAAAAGAGTAAAAACATAAGTTTGAATTACTAAAACACCTATTTCTAATATAATCATAAATATAATAATCATTAATGGAAATAAGTTAAAAAAAGCAAGAAGAAAAATATATCATTTTAAATATAAAATCAGAAAGAATAGCTAATAAAATATGACCAGCTGTTAAATTAGCTGCCAAATGCATTCCTATGGCTATAGGTCTAGAAACATGACTAGCTAATTCTATAAATACTAGTAAAGGAGAGAGACCTAAAGGAGCTCCTGTTGGCATAAGCATAATCAAATAAGAACTTTTGAAATTAAAAAATCCAAATATTATTATTGATAATCATATAAAAAATGATAATCCAAAAGTTAATGAAATACGAGTAGTAGACAGTAAAATAAAAATAAAAAATCCTGATAAATTTATTGATAGAAGATTAAAGAATAAAGTTGATAAAAATTATATGTATATTTGAGAATTATTTCCTAAATTTTCTTTTACAATTTGAAAAAAGTGATTAATAATCACTTCAAAAAACAATTGAATTCTTGAAGGAATTATGAAACTAAAGTTTAGAGCTACAAAAATTATAAATACAGATAATATTAATATTAAAGAGTCAAATAAAAACCCAAAAATTTTAGTAATTAAAAAATAATCAAAATAAAAAGACATAGTTTTAATATATTATGTAATATAGAAAATTTAAAATTATTTTCACTTGATTCTAAATTATTCCCAATAAAATTATTTCTTATATTTAAAACTAAGAAAAAATTATAAAATTTTAGACATTAAAATTACTAATAAAAAAAAATAATAGCAACAAAACAAGATAGTGATTAAAATGTAAAAATAAATCTAATTGAGACATTCTAAGTTTTATTAATTGATCAGCTTATAAATTTTTCTTGAGAAACAGAATAAATAGAGATAGGCATAAAAAGGTGATTAAGACCACATAATTCTGAGCATTGACCAAAAACTTTGCCAGGTCTGTTAATGATAAAATTTAATTGATTTAAGCAACCTGGGAATGCATCTATTTTTACATCTAAAGAAGGAATAGTTCAACAATGAATAACATCAGCACTTGAAACAAACAATTTGATTTTTGTATTAACTGGTAAAACAAGATCATTATCAGTTTCAAGTAATCTAAAATGTTGAAAAAAGTGAAAAAACTTATTAAAAATATTAAATTTTTCATAAACAGAGGGTATTGGATTCCAACCGATAATTTTGAAGATTATTTAAACTACTTAATCAACCCTCTTTATTAAATAATTACTTTAAATTTTTAGATTCTTTCAAAAAAATTTTATTAGTTCTTTTTAATTAACTTAATGAAACTTTATTCCTTTTGTACTAAAAGTCTAAAGTAATTTTACAATTGTACATAGAAACCTTCCTGTATTGCTACGAAATTAACTCAAATCATATAAGATTTTAAAGGTCGAATAGACCTACCCTCAATAACTACTGCATCATTAGGATATCTTAATTCAAGATAGAGATGACAAACTTTGTTTTTGATAAGGACAATAAAATAAAATTATCCTATTATCTCTTAGGTAGCTTTTATTAATTGATCGTTATCTATTGATTATTATAATAACAGGTCATGATAGCCTACTATAGCAATTGTTAAATTGTTAAATTATACAATAAATAAGTTTATTACATTGCTTATTTTTGTTATTTTTAAAAAACAGTCATCCCAACTAAACTACCAAACTTTCTAATTATACTAATTTTTCATTTTTTTAAAAAAAGTTTATAGTAAAGCTTTATAGGGTCTCTTTGTCTTACAATTTTAAATAGCATCTTAACTATTATTTCAATTTTAAAATATTTTTCTTAAGACAGTGAAAAATTTGAGTAACCATTCATTCTCTCCATCAATTAAATGACAACTAATTATGCTACTTTATTACAGTCAGAGTTACTGCATCCATTTAACATTATTTAAATTAGATTATAATTATTTTTATATCATTGGGCAAATTTCACCTTGAATATTTTAGAGGGCTATGTTTTTGGTAAACAGTCGATATTTTATTTTGCCGAGTTCCATAAGAAAAAATTTATTATTTATCCTAACTTGATTTAGATTTTTTTAAATATAAATTAAAATTTTCTTGAAAAATATTTTAATATATTCCTTATAAATTAAGAAATTGTATTACCTTAATTTATTAAATTAAGAAAAAAAAAAGATAAACTTAATTTTAATAATGCTTATATTATTACTCTTTTAAAAATTTCATAACATGTTAAAAGAAATTTCACTACTATTTTCCACAAAAATGATAATAATTGACTATTTTGTAAAGTTATAATTTTTCTAAAATATAGTTTTACGTAATTTTTAGAATATAGCTGATTCTAAGCTTATTTACTTTTTGTCTAAACCATAAACTTGTTCCCGAATGTTTATAGGTTCATTGATGTTGGATATAAATTGTTTTTTACTTGTTAAATAGTCTTTGCATTAAAGCAACTGCTTTTTTTAAAAAAAAATTACTTATATAAATTTCATGAAAAACTAGCTATTTCCTAACTCGATTAGTTTTTCAATGCCAATTGCAAATTATCCAAAAAAAATTATCATTTATTGGTTCATTCTATAAATTATTCACAATTAGATCGTTAAGTTTTGGGAATGATTAACTTTATAAATTATTTAGCCTTATAGCTTGCTAATTATTATTCTATAAGCCCATTATACAAAAGGTAAATAATTTTTTTTTTTAATATAAATTATTTATTAATTTCCTTCACAGTACTAATTCTATAGATATAATCAATTTTTTAATTGTGTAAAGTCAAATAAAAAAATAACGATTTCAATCGCTTTTACTTTCATAATATTATTTTATAATTATTAAGATGTTTTATAATTACTAAGATGTTTCAGTTCATTTTAAGTTTAATCATTTATGAAAATTAATATTATTTAATACTATTCTTATTGATTTTTCTCTTTTTATAATTTAATTTAAAAATAAAGAGAAAGGAATGGAATCTAGTCATGAGCCAAATAACAATCCGTTAGTTTACTCTTCTTCTTTAAGAAAATCAAATTCCTATATGTACACTTTTAACAAGTTACCCTTTATAAATCAACTCATTAGAAACAAGGGAATAAAAAAAACTCTTTGGTTTTCTTACCTTCTAAAAAAGGATAATTATTTCCACATTATACCACATTATATTCACAAAACTTATGTTCATTTATCTTTATATTTATTTTTATTTTTTAAATTATATAGTATTTCAGTACATAAAACCTTTTCTATTTATTTTTAAAATTATATATATTTTGAATAAGATTTATAAGATTTTACTTTCAAGCAGTTAAAAGAAGTTTAAATGTAACAAAATCTTATGTCTGACTTTAAACAGGATGCTGTCCAGTTATTATTTCTTAGTAGGAAAAGCTTTTGAAAAAAGTAGTGTTTAAATAAATTACCTTCTTCACAAGTATAAGTGATATTCATTTTATTGAAATAACTGTTGCATACAACATTTTTTTTAAAAAAAAAATTGTTAGCAATAACATTTGCACATCTAGGTCCATTGCATACTGATTTAACTATTGGAACAGTATCATTTTGTGATAAGAAACAACCATTGTTTCCATAATAAACACTCTTTATAACTACACGCTTCATTAAAGGACATCCAAATGTCAGAGATTGAAAACTCGCAAAACTAACAACAAAGTCATCTAAAACAAACATACATATACAGTCAGTCAAATTTAAACCTCACAATTTAGAAATAACACTTTAAAAAAAACATTTTAAAGTTTAATTTTTGAGTTTATATTCTGTCACAAAAGTTAATTTTGGAACATTTTGGAGCAACTTTACAACATAAGTAGTGTGATTCCGATCTTTTTGAAATATTCAATTATTTCCTAACTTTAATTTAGCAGCATCTAATTTCAAATTATTCTTTATGTCCAAATATATCCAGCAATCCATTTTAGGGTGAATAAATACAAAACGCTACTCCAGCTGCAGCCATCCATCCCCAAACCATTGCAATTCCATGATTCATTGTCAGAATTAAATTATTTTCTTCTAGTTCTTTATTTATTATTTTTCTTCATATTACTCCAGGGCTATCAGGTCAAAAAACATACCAAAACTTTTGTTAAATATCATAAATTCAAAAATTGAACTTTTTCAGTTTTATAAATATTTTTAGTAAATTTTTTTTTTTTTATTTCTTGTATGATATATTCTTGTTACTTTAATTATAAAACTATTTTTTTGCATTTAAAATGGTTTTTATAAAGTGTATTCTCTAAATTGTAAGGTGAACAAAAACTTTTGTGACTGACTTTGTATATATATATACATATATAAGTATATATATATATATATATATATATATATATATATATATATATATATATATATATATATATATATATATATATATATAATATATATATATACATATATACATATATATATACATATATATATATATATATACATATATATATATATATATACATATATATATATATATATATATATATATATATATATATATATATATATATATATATATATATATATATATATATATATATATATATATAAAAACATATATATATATATATACATAACAACCCTCGGAGTTAGGAAAAATGAGGTCAGCAATAATTTGCCGACCTCAATCTTTTTAAGGTCAGCATCAGGTTGGCAAAAATTATTTGATACAAAGGTCTGACCATAAAACATAGAAACAGGGTCAGCAATTTTTTGTAGACCTCAAACACGTTCAGGTCCGCAGTTAGGTTGGCATTTCCAAATGCCAATCCTGATTCTGATATATATATATATCTAAACAATTTTAAAAAATGCATTCTACAAAATAGAGTGCTAAATGTTCTTAAACAACAAAGACTCATCAGAAATCTGATGAGCCTTTGTTGATAAAACACAGTGTAAAATAAAAAAAAAAAAAAAAAATATATATATATATATATATATATATATATATATATATATATATATATATATATATATATATATATATATATATATATATATATATATATATATATATATATATATATATATATATGTAAATATATGTTGCAAGATTTTTTTGTACCAAATAGAGATACAAAGCTTCTTGTACGTTATTTTAGAGTGATCAATATAATGTAAATTAATTATTTACAAAATAGATCATCAATTATACATAAAAGTTTAACTAAATGAAAAAATACAACTTTATGATGGAACTTAAAGTTTCATGCCATTTCGGCAATCATCAGCTATAAATATATTTTTTAACCAAGGAAAACTGTTAAAAATACAAAATACAAAAAAAAGTAGAATGGGTTCTGAAGTCAAAACAAAACAAAAAGTAATGTAGAAACTGGATTAATCACCGGTATCAAAATTAGCCAGAAGAAGTTTGTTTCTATGCCTGCACTTGGATTTTATTTCACTTCTTTTATTTAATAAGTTTGGATTTCTAGAGAATAAAATTTCATATTTCACATTAAAGCAAAAACTACAAGATTTTTTCGTAGGGTTATAATTTTTTCCTATATTTGTGCTAACATTTATGCTGAAAGGGGGTTAAACCAAATGATATTGCGTTTACGATGCTAAGCATGAGTTGAATTTATGTTAGGATGATAAGAAAGCTTATGAACAAAACCTGTTTTTAACAATGCTTTGTTATGCATGTCAGTAGAATTTTGAAAAATTTCTTCGCTTGACGAATTTGCAGATAATCTTAACTCGATAGAACGCAGAAGTTGTTTTAAAATACTGGGTGGATGGAAAAAAAAATTAAACTATATTCACGTTGATTGAATCAACGTGAATATAGTTTAAAAAGTTTCTGGGTTTGGAATACGGTTGGAAAGTGTGGTTATTGAGATTTAGCGTAATGTCTAGATAATTTACAATTTTCATGTTGCACTATGTTGATATAAGAAGATTGTTTTGTTTAAATATATCAACAATATGTTTTTTAATTTTTTCCATTTCAGGTCCACTTTTATTTTCAACAACTGCTAAACCATCGTCCCTGTATAATCCAAATTCATTTTTAGGATTTTTGGAAATTAAAGGAAGCTAATTTAAATCCTATAGTTAAATGGAAAATAATCAAACAGTTCAATGCTTTAACCCTACAAAAAAATCTTGTAGTTTATGCTTAAATGAGAAATATGAAATTCAATTCTCTAGAAATTCAAATTTATTTAATAAAAGAAGTAAAATAATATCCATAGAAACAAATTTCTTCTGGCTAATTTTGATACCGGTGATTAATCCAGTTTCTACATTACGTTTTGTTTTGTTTTGACGTCAGAACCAATTATATTATATAAATATTGTTGTTTTTATATTTTGTATTTTTAATGGTTTTTCTTGATTAAAAATATATATACGGCTGATGATTGCTGAAATAGCATGAAACTTTAAGTTCTATCATAAAGTTGTATTTTTTCATATAATTAAGCTTTTATATATATATATATATATATATATATATATATATATATATATATATATATATATATATATATATATATATATATATATATATATATATATATATATATATATATATATATATATATATATATATATATATATATATATATATCCTTATAGTGTAGTCGAAAGAGCGTTTTAATGTAAAAAAAGTCTCTTTCGACTACAATTTTAATTACCCCGTCTCTTAAGCTGTATTTGATTGTTGTCGAAATGTCAAAGCAATTAAATTAATGCGGAAGTAGATTAAATTTTATTGTTTTTTAAAAATTTTTTAAAAAACCACAATAATAACAACTAGAAAGTTTTTTTTAATTAGTTTTGTTTTTGTTTTTGTTTTATTAAAAAACATTTTTAAAACATGCGTAAATGTTGCTACATCGACTATCTTATAGCCTGACTCGCAAGGGAGTGCTGCTACATCGACTGACAAATAGCCTGACTCGCAAGGGAGTGCTGCTACATCGACTGACAAATAGCCTGACTCGCAAGGGAGTGCTGCTACATCGACTAACAAATAGCCTGACTCGCAAGGGAGTGCTGCTACAACGACTGACAAATAGCCTGACTCGCAAGGGAGTGCTACTACATCGACTGAGGGTTTGGTTTGGGCAGGCAGTCTATCATTTAAAAAAAAAAAAAAATTAAGTTTTTAAACTTTTTCTGGTCTGGTTTATTAACGCGCTCTTTAAAACTACAGTTTATGGGAAACTCTTTTTAACTACCATGCAAAAGTATATATATATATATATATATATATATATATATATATATATATATATATATATATATATATATATATATATATATATATATATATATATATATATATATATATATTTATATACATGTATATATACATATATATACATGTATATGTATATATATATATATATATATATATATATATATATATATATATATATATATATATACATATATATATATAATTATTATTGTAATTATTATTGTTGTTATTGTTACTATTATAATTATTATTGTTTTTATTATTATTAATATTATTATTCATATTTTCATCAATATTATTATAATTAAAAGCATTTCGGATACCTTGATTTTCAACCTTCTGAATAATTTCTAAAAAAAAAATATATATTTACCAAGAATGTTACTAATTAGACAAAAAAATGAGTAAAAGTTAAAAAAGTTAAAAAAATAAATACTCTTGTTTTTAAATGTAATTCAATAAAAATTTCTTGAGAAACTTATGATTATTGTAATTTATATACCAAAAATAGTCTACAGAGAGTGTATATCTTGTTATTCTACAGAGATTGTTATTAATCTATAGACTGTGTATTTTTTATTCTAGAGAGTGCATTTTTTATTCTAGAGAGTGTATTTATTAGTCTTTTTAATTTATTGAAAAAATATAATAACAATGAATATTTATTGTTGAAATTTAACAAAATAATATTTAAAATAATTTATAAAAAACATTTTAATGTTTATAATGTTAAATGAGAGTGTGTAATAAGTAAACTGTATATAAGCCGGTGACTTATGATCCCCCTTAAATAACTTAAAATATGTATATAATAAAAATCGTCATACATTTTATTTCTTTTATATTTTATAATTTTTTTTTTATATAATATTATGCAAAAGTTTAAAAAAAAAGTAAAATATTACTTCGAGAATATTTGCATATAAATGGCTTTTTAAAATAACAAAGATCATCATTCCAGTGTCCTTTCACAGTAGTGTGAACACAATCTTCTCTTCGTCCATTCCAA